TGGAACCAACTATAAAAATAGTCGGGCTCTGTCGCCGCCACAAAGACATAGGACGTGTTCACACCCAATCCAAAGCTCTCTAGATAATTAGGAACAAGTTCAGGGTAACCACTGCAACTAAAGTAAAAATTGAGGTTCAAATCTAATTCCGAGTGAAACAAGGGAACATTACTAGTGTCAATAGTGAGGTTATGGCACACCCTTGGGCAGGTTTTGTTGGTGGAAACATCGACATTGACGATGGTGAGAGTATTATTGTCATAATTTATATATCTAACGTAGCAAGCATCGTGACAGGTAGAGTATTGGCTCGTCAGGGCTCGAGCAGTTAAGGCCAAAGTCCCGGTAACCGCAGTATCGGCTCGAGGTTGTGGTGTCTATCGGCTAAAACGGGTAGCTAATGTTAAGGTTACCACACACGTACCATGGGCAATTTATGTCGTTGCCATAAAAAGTTCTGAAGAAGAGAGAAAAAACAAGGAGGAGATAGAGAGGTTGAGAATAGTCTTGTGACATGGTGAAAATTTTAGTAGTACACAAACAACTAATAGTTGTGTGACATAAACTGATTCTAACCGCTTGACTTTATTTCATCTGGTTTGAAAGAAATGTAAGAGCATTAACGGGTTTAGCTTCGCATCTGAAACTATTTTGACTTGTCGTAGTCAAAATAGCTCAAATGTTCCTAGTTAGTGCCAGATAGTAACTCTAGGGACAAGGATTACCTCCAGTTGCACAGTAATTCATTTTTATAAGTAAAAATATATCCCAACATTTTCATAATGTGCATCTAACATTTTCTTACTATACATTCTAATATTTTTCTACTGTATATTTCAAACATGGGTGATGTGACCATTTCTGGACTACTTATTTTAAAGTAGAAGAAATGATACACTATTTCACTCGAGTTGATTTTCGCCCGTAACCCTGGCATGCATCAGTTGTTCTTGTTTGTCTAGCTTAGCAGCAAGCCTAGTATGGATCCGTTCTTGTTTGTTTTATAATTCATTCTTTTATATTGAGCTATGTAATTGCGAAATAGTCCGTGTGTTTGTTATATATTGAGCTATGTAATTACTATATAGTCCTCTTGACAATTATTTAGATTTTGAAACTCAGAATGGGATGTAACTAACTGTAACAAAATTCAAACTACTGTTCAACTTTAAATTAATAGATATTTTCATTTAAAATTGCTCATACTCCAATTTTAACTATTATCATGCTAACATAGTAAAATTAATTTAAATTAAATAAATTCTAGCAAGAATTACGTACAGTTGTAAAATTTCTGATTTAGAAAGAAAAATATGAATCGGGAATTCACAAAATTAATATAATTTTATTTTATTATTATTATTTTTTTTGGAAACTACAATCAAAGACAATCTTAGAAAATTTGTTGTCAATCGATGTTAAAGAAGTCAGGCATTTTGTGAAGTTTAAAGAGGGGTGATTCTGGCTGGTTTTGAGATGAGTAATAAAAATTTAGTAGTGACATTATTCAGAATTTAACAAAAATTTCTAGAAATAAAATAAATAAATAAATAATCAGGAGGGCGGCCGTCCCCTCATTACATGGCTCGGCGCCTATATTGTATACGGAGTATAAGAATTGTCGTGTATAAACAAGAATATATATATATATATACTTCTTGAAGAAAACGACTAATGAAAGCGATCTGTTCTAACATAATGGCTGAGATAGTGAGATGATGAGCTTCTTGGTTCCTGCCTTCATCCATAGATCAATTCCATTTTGGCGATGAAATTGAGTGAGAGGGCATAAATGACCCCCCAGTAATCCACCGACATTTGCACCCGCCGATCATCGACACGTGGCATAAGGATGCGTTTTGATTCTTGTTCAGGCCAGTCCGGAAGGCACGGGGCGAGCCCACAACTAACAGGAAAGAAAGAATGGACAGGCCCAAAGAGCTGAAGCGGGTCTTTGGGCAAAAACGTGGGTCCAAAGGGTGAAGGAAATTAGGGCAAAAGAGAGAAAAAAACAGGGGATTCCAGAGGGAAAAACGTTCCCGTTTTTAGAGGAAGGACACATTTCTGTTCCTACCACACTGATAAAATATTAGCCACTGGATTGAGTACAATATATGTGTGTGTTTTAATGGAAATGCAACGATTATAATAAAACAAATCGTTTTCATAACAAAATTTGAAGTTTGAACTAAAGATTCACACATATACATACATTGGGATTGGTATTTGATTGATTATGAATGCAATACCTAGTCCATGGCTGAGTTATATACTTCCTGTATACGGCCAAAAAACGGATTGTAAATTCAAAAAATTTTGTAGCTCATTTTGGACTACCGGTTATCTCACTTAAGTTGAATTAAGATTTCTGCACAGATGTGACACAATGACAAAATGACAATTATACATTTTGAAATTCATAGAACATTATGCTTTCACCAAGGTCTTCTGTATTTTTGAAATATAAATGATTAGCACTTTTTAAGCTATTAGCCTAATGCATGCCACCTAGAGTTTGTCACCCTGTTCTAGCCAGGGTGAGGCGTGATACTTTGGCACAATCACATGGCCTGATTTTTAGATTAGATTCTATTAATATGCGGGAAAAAAAAAAAAGTGCATCTTTTTGTCATTGTTCTCTACATGAATCTGAGATTCTAAAAAATCTGGACCATGTAGAGCCACTGAAAATTATATTCTTACTTTTGATTCTATCATGCATCTAACAAGTTTGTTCTGTTGGTTCACAACAATTCCTCAACCTGGCAGTATTGGCTTCTACCACAATGCTCAAGTACAGTTCTACCTAAACCTCTATATATATTTAACTAGAATCTAAACAAAATCAACAACTGAATTGGATGGGCAGGATTTGACAATTCATACATATGAAATTATTTGGCAGGTTTACATTTGATTGCTCCCACCTTACAGAAAAAAGCGATGGCTATAGTTTTGGGGTCATTCTCGAGCCCATGCATGCTGGGCGGCATGAAATCAATTTGTCTAACATGCCTCTCAACAAGATCCAGAGCCATGCATTGCACAAGCTTGTTGATCCAAGTCTTGGTTTCATAAACATGAAGATGGAACAACTAGTCATGGGTTAAAAATTAGCTTTAAGTCATTCCTATATGAAGCTCAATACAAACTCAAATAAAATGATTGATGTATTTGAAAAGTGCAATTTAACAACTTTGCAGGATATATACAATTTTGGTAAACTGCGCAATGCCAGAAATCTTATTTGTGCAAGGAATCCTTGTCCCTGCCCCCCCAAAACCATTGCATGATTCAAAGAGAGAACCTTGACACTTAACGATGTCTTCATCATCAGTAATGACATACTGTTTCACCGTATTTTGAAGGAGAATATAAGAAGTAGGGTCTGGTTGGAATTTCCAGGGCTTCTATGTGCTTCCTTCCAACATTTCTACTACCTTATTCATTGATGGCCTTTGTGAAGGAACGGTCTGTATGCACCACAACCCTACTAATATCATCTTCTTCGCCATATCATCAGGCCGCTCCCATTGGATTTTTTATATTTTCATTGTATACCTTTAATTTTTCTTATTTTCAGTTATACAACTATGAAATTTTAATATTGCCCCTGAAATAACAAAAGAAATTCACTTTTGCTCCACCAAAATCCTATAATCGTATTCCTTTATTTACTAAACGACCCCAAACGTTCATTTTGAATTCTCCAGTGGTAAAATAGTCAGCCTTTAAGTTCCAAAATAGTCGGCCTTTAATTCTCTAGTGGTAAAATAGTCGGGCTTTAAGTCACCTCAACAGCTACTATCGTCTAATCATTGCCAAATAAATATATATATATAAATATTTAAAATATGATTCTTTCTAAAACCCAAATGAAACATTAGGCCCAATCTAACTCAAATGAAGAATTGAAGCCCAATCCATCCAAATACTGCAGTCACCCTAAAAAGCCCAATAGCTTAAGCCCACTATATATTTCTTACCCTAAATCCCTAATCTCAACACTACCACAGTTTTCTTGGCGGTCGGTGAACCACTCCCGGTTAGTTCGATCGTTATACTGGCTTTTGATGGAGAAAATTCGTGGTAGCAGAGATCGGTTGTGAAGATCAACTCAGCGGAAAGACTAGGTACGAATCGAGCGTGTGTGTATATATATATATATATATATATTTTTTTTTTTTTTGTTTTTGAGATTTCTGCGTATAAATTTGGTCTGTAATATTACATTTACGAAGTACATTGTATTTTGATTTAACTGTCATTTGCTAATTGAGATGCATCATATTTTAGTATGATGTAACCATACTGATTCCAACCAACAAAAAATGTTTCAATTCAGAACTCTATTAGGCTGTTAGCATTAGGCTAAGGTACCTTTGGATTGAGAGATTTGGAGGGATAGTGAGCGAAAAGAAAAGATAGTGTAGATTGTGTTTGAGTTGTTTAAAATGAGAGAAGAGAAAGAATAGGGAGAGATAGAGATAGAGATAGACTACATTGGTCTTTAAAGTCTCGAACATCTCATAGTCAAGACTGGTGTCTAACATGTGAACTAATCTTTGCAACATTCCTCGACCCAATCTTTCATAAGGTATCATTCTATTATTGTACCAGTCCATTAGGTTGCTTCAGGTCAAGGGGGTTTTCGAAAAAGATTTGTTAGGGGTTCCTCTGTATCCTAGTTTGCATCTTTGAATTCAGAGGAGTTTCAATCAGTAGAAAATAAGTTGTTCTGCTTTGTTTTCTTCTTCTATTTACTTCTTTGTTTTTTTATCTCAAAACTGACACACACAAACACACACAAATCATTCAAATATTTAATAAATCATAGTGTCAGAGTGACAATTGAAGAGACGTTATTTTAATACGATGATTTAGGTGTTAGAATTGTTCCTGTGTTTGAAGTGTTATGTGTTAATATCTTAAGAGAATAGAGAACTTGTAAGGTGCAACAATCTTCATTCATGTGAGTTCTAAGATTTCCTCTGCCCGCTAAAAATACAGAAATTATATGATTCAATAAGCTGCATAGATGGCCTTCAAGATTTGATTAGCATAAAAAAGTCCTTGTAAACCAGAACCTTACATCATATGTTCGGCTAAATTTGTTAGCAATGACTATACAAAATGGACAATAAATAATTTTAACAATGAATTAAAACATTGTTCATGTAGTAAAAGATTCTGCTACTGATCTTGAAAGAGAATGTAAGTAGGGTCTGGGTGGAATTTCCAGAGCTTCTATGCTTCCTTCCAGCATTTCCACCACCTTACTCATTGATGGCCTTTGTGAAGGACCAGTCTGTATGCACCACAACCCTACAAATATCATCTTCCTTGCCATTTCATTTTCTTCCTCTGTCATGTCACCCTGAAATCCTAGCTCTTCGTCTAGCTCAAGGCGCTTATAAACCCAATGTGGAAAATATATCTCGCTGGTATGGCTCACCCCAACATCATTGTTCTTTCTTCCTCCAACCATTTCTAGTACCATCATTCCGTAACTATAGACATCAGACTTATGTGATACTCCTCCAAAGTTTCTACTGAACACTTCTGGAGCAATATACCCTATGGTCCCTCTGGCTTCCATTATTGATATAATGCTTTCTTTCTTGGTATATAGTTTTGCAAGCCCAAAATCGGAGATCTTAGGGCAAAAATCATCGTCAAGGAGAATGTTGTGAGGTTTTATGTCTAGATGCAGTATTCGCTGGCTGCAACCACGGTGCAAATACTCAAGTCCTCGAGCTATACCAATCGAAATTTGATACAATTTTTTCCAACCCAAATGCCCATTGGTCTTCGAAAGTCCTTGGTGATATATGAACTTTTCAAGAGATCCATTAGGCATAAACTCGTAAATGAGAGCTCTTTTGTTACCTTCAAGACAAAATCCCAGAAGAGTGACCACGTTAACATGTGAAGTCTTACTGATGCTTGCAACCTCATTGATGAATTCTTCTCCATTTCCTTTGGATTCATCAAGGAGTTTCACTGCCACAGGTTGATTGTTAAGTAGCTTTCCTTTGTACACAGAGCCATATCCTCCTTGACCAAATTTATCTCTAAAAGAGTGTGTTATTTTTTTGACATATGAATAGCTATATCTTTTTGGAGACAGTGATCCGTGATTCCTAATAAAGGCCTCAAGATCCCGGTTATCTTTTATTTTCAACCTCCAAAATATGATCGATCTAAACGAAGAGGTCTTTGATCTAATGCAGCAAAAAATGATGCTCATTAGTAGTAGTCCGATTCCGCCAGAACCAACTCCTGTATTCAAAGATTTGGTGGTTAGTGATGAGAACTATAAATGAAAGCAAGGAATTTGGAAATGATTAATTGAACACACTCAAGAAGGAAAAAAAAAAAAAACTCTATTTTCAAGCTTTAGTAATGGTATCATTCTTTCAACTGTTAGAGTTAGATATGATTATTTTTTATTTTTGGGGAGCTCCACTAAAAACTTATAATAAGCATTTAAATAACTGGTAGTATAATGTAAGAGTACGGTACCTATTGTCAACTTTAGTCGCGTGGTCAAATTATTACCTGCATCAAAAACATTGCAATCATCAACGAAATATTGAAGGAAACAAAACCAATTGATCAATGAGCATAAACCATACTAATTTGTTAACTCATTTAGTGTGAGATAATTGAAAGTTGAAATGGATTTTTATTTTTATTTTATTGGTCGTAAGTTGAAATGGATATTCACGAAGTAATTTTAAATCATAAGAAGAAAAAAAAAGTGAAATTGACAAATTTAGACATAACTATCTGATTATATAATGGAGATATGTTGAGCTCAGCTCGGTTTAAAATGGGAAAAGTGTATGCTTATATTAACGTATTCTCCCATTGACCATTGACATTTTCAATGATGGCCGTGGGATTTTCAAATTAAGTAAACACCTAGCCCAACTTAGGTTTTGATGGTCTAATTTATTGACTTTTCATCAAATTTGATTATTATTCCTATATTGAATTTAAGTGCTGGTTACCCTAATCAATCCACACCAGGAAGACGTCGTGGACAAGGACTCCAATCTCGCCGGCCCTTCCACCACCGGAGAAGTCATCATCGCGGTCGCCGGCTTCCCCCATCGGGAATCGCCAATTCGCTTTCCGATCCGAAGCGTCAAAGGGTGGAGGACGTCTCGATCGCGACCGTCGTGGAAGAGAAGAAGCCGTTGGCTCTTGATGAGTGTCGGAGGCTGTTTCAATGACTTAGGACTACAACTGTAAACGAGCTGAGCTGGAGTTGTTCGTCGAAAATTCTAGACTGAATTTAAGTGCGGACTACCCTAATCAAAACCTAATACTAAAGCTAGAGATGATATGCTAACACAAAAATTAACTTAATTGAATATTAAAATCAAAGTGGTTACTTTACGTACCATGGTCTCCACAAGTTAGATGATGAGGCTGGTCGTGACAAAGGCAGACAAATTGGAGCGTAGTCGGATCGGATCCACAAGTCCCACCGGACGACTCACACGATGAGCATTCAACATTACTTGCATTATACTGAACCTCAAATCCTAAATTCAAAGCTTGCTGCAGATTCAACGAAATATCCCAAAGTCCTTCCAAACTTGTCCTGAAAACCGGAACTTCAATGCCATGTTGGCAGGTCGTCGTTTCCAGCTGAATACTCAAGAATGACTCGTCCCCATAAAAGCGATTACTCTCTCTAACACTATCTAAGGGACACGTAAAGTTGTTCAAGAATTCTGTCAAACTTGAGGTGCAATTGTAGAATAGGTACAGGCTTCGGGCAGTTGAAGAATGGAGAGAGAAGAAGGTGTTGTCAAAAGTTATATTACTTAATATCTGAGGGCAGGGATTATCCCATAGGTCTAACCTTGCCATAGTCATCATGGAACCCGATGAATTGATCTCTAGTACACGGAACATATGATCATCGATGTCTATAACCGGGTGGTCGTTGTTTTGGCACTTGAGCTCAAACTGTGGATGGCCACAGTACTGGGGTCGACCATCACCCCAATAAGGGTACCCTATGCCTTTTATGTTTTGGCCACAGTTGTAGGTATGATTTCGGCACACCCAGAACATTTCATGGTCCTGGCAGTGAGATGTTGAGAAGGTGGTGATGAAGAATACTATGAAGATGGTGGAGTAGTGGGAGAGGGATAAAGAGAAGTGTTGGGTATACATTTTGAAAGATCATGAATGGAAAAGACAGAAAAGAAAGAAGATTTTGTGTGACAGGTGTGGTTCGGTACTGCTTATTGATGATAATGCCTTATTCAAAGGAACAGAAATATGGGAATTGGTTCTCTCTCCCATGTAATGTAAATAGATCGACTAGAACAGCCATTTGTTTTGACAAAAAAAAGTGAAAGTCAATTGTTTTGACTTTTAGGGAGAGAGGTGGCAAGCTGCTGGTATGATATATATCGATGACCATTTCAAATATATGTGTTGTGATGTGTCAGTGAATGGCGGTGACGCTGTGTGCGGCATTGAATGGTGTACTGCATGCATGAATAAAGGAAACTTAGGTGGGAAAAAAAGAATAATAAGGACACTTTAATTAAGAAATGAAGACCAAATTAATGATGAGAAGTGAGCTGCGTAAGAAATAATTGACTGTTCAAAGGTGGTATGTTGAGACCGGAACATGGGTATTAGCATGGTGTACCACGTTGTATATCAATTACAGACTTTACAGCATTCCTAAAGCCATTCTTTCCGAAGGTCGCAGGTAGCTTCAGCTCTAAAGAAGGAGAAGATTCCAAAAATATTGGTGAGGGTTCCACTGTATCCCAGTTAGCATCTTTGCTTTCAGAGGAGTTTCAGTCGGTAGAAGTTGAGTAGCTCTAGTTTTTCAGTTCATTAACTGACCCTTCTTACGTGCATATAATATAAATAAGGGATTATTACATATAAATGGACTTAGTGGTCCATATTTACCTATACATTGAGTCAAAGTCAATAATTTTTTTAAAATGTGTTTGACCTAAAAGCTGAGGTGGCACGTGAAAAAATACTGTTTCATATTTCTGTTGCCTAAAATACCCTTCTTCTTATTTTATGTCTTGCCTAAAATGCCCTTTTCTACAATCTGCAAACCCAAATGAAGAAGATACAGGGGGCGGCGCACTATGCCGACTGCAGCGGATGAAGCCGGTCGGTGGATCACGGACGAAGGATGATCTGTCCGGCGAGCATGGTGGCGAGGACGGCTGCGGAGAGACAGGTCCGGTCGTGAGAGGAAGGCTTCAGCCGTGAGAGGAACGGCGGCCGGCAATACAAAGCCGGCGATGGGAATAGCTGGCTATATAAAAATGTGAGTTTAGCCATGATATCCGGTGACAGAACCAAAGGAAGAAGGATAAGAGTCTTATGAGAAGATTATTGAACTTCTTCATCGCGTCTATTCCAGTTCTGCAGCAACCCATGCTCGCTCGAAAATTTACTACTTCGACCAATTCTTGTGGTGGTAATTGTGATTATTAGTTGTGGCGGTGCCTGGTTCTTTGGCCTCGTATGAACTCCCTCTCTCTCTAGAAAATTTTACAGACCAAGACACATAAATAGGTGGATTTTGGGATTATTTACATACATACATAATTGACACCCAAAATGTGTATATCCGAGGCGGTGGTTCTGAATTTCCAAACATATTTATGAATCATAAATTGTAAAAACTAATAACTGGGGGTTTTGTTTTGTTTGTTTATGGAGATGAAAAATAAGAACTGGGTTTGTGTGAATCAGCAATTATTTGTCTTGCTGTGCTTTTTATGGATTCAATTTGAGCAAAATCAATTGAATCAAACATGGTTTATGATTTGAAAAAAAAAAAAAATTCAAAAAGAAATTCAAAAAGATATATATATATATATATATATATATATATATATATATATACACGCACGCATCTTCTTCCAACTCTGTTATACTGAAAAAAAAATAAAAAATAAAAAAGAAACCCATTTACAGTCAAACCAACCATCTCATTAGCCAACCGTAAGCCACTGCTCGTCGTCACCACACCTCCGGCCCAAGCCGCCACCACAGCCAGTCCTTCCTCACTGCCATCCGAGCCCATCGCCGGCTCTGTATTGCCGGCCGCCGTTCCTCTCACGGCCGAAGCCTTCCTCTCACGACCGGACCCGTTCTCTCCGCAGCTGTCCTCGTCACCATGCTCGCTGGACAGATCATCCTCCGTCCGTGATCCACCGACCGGCTTCATCCGCTGCAGTCGGCATAGTGTGCCGCCCCCTGTATCTTCTTCATTTGGGTTTGCAGATTTAGAAAACTGCATTTTAGGCAACACATAAAATAGGAAGGAGGGTATTTTAGGCAACAGAAATATGAAACAGTATTTTTTCATGCGCCACCTCAGCTTTTGGGTCAAACACATTTTAGAGAAATTATTAACTTTGACTTAATGTATGGATAAATATGGACCACTAAACCCATTTATATGTAATAATCCCTATAAGTAATTAGGGCAAGGAGTGATAGTTATGGTGCGGAATGGGTTTCTCCTTCTATTTTCTTCTTTTTGTATCTCATATATATATATATATATATAATTAAATAAAAGATTCAATTCAAATATTTAGGATAGTGTCAAATTACGAGACAATGGAAGGGAACATAGTTTCTTATGATAGATTTAGGTTTTAGAAGTGTTACTGTGTTATATAGTATCTTAAAATACAGAACTTATATTGTGCAAGAAGCTGCATATATGCATGGTCTTCAAGATTTGCATGATATATATGTTCTGCTAAATTTGTTATCAAACTAGACAAAAATGGATGATAAGTAATTTTAACACTAAATCAAAGCATTGTTCATGTAGCAGAAGATTCTGCTGGCCAGTGATCTTGAAGGAGAATACATGTAGGGTCTGGGTGGAATTTCCAGGGCCTCTATGCTTCCTTCGAACATTTCCACCACCTTACTCATTGGTGGCCTTTGTGAAGGATAGGTCTGTATGCACTACAACCCCACTAATATCCCCTTCCTTGCCATTTCATTTTCTTCCTGTCATGTCACCCTGAAATCCTAGCTCTTCGTTTAGCTCAAGGCGCTTGTATACCCAATCTGGAAAATATATTTTGATGGTATGGTTCACCCCAACATCAGCATTCTTTCTTCCTCCAACCATTTCTAGTACCATCATTCCATAGCTATAGACATCGGATTTATGCAATACTTCTCCAAAGTTTCTACTGAGGGAGCAATATACCCTATGCTCACTCTAGCTTCCAACATTGATATAATGCTCTCTTTCTTGGTAAATTGTTTTGCAAGCCCAATTAAAATTAGAGATCTTAGGACAAAAATCCTCATCAAGAAGAATACTGTGAGGTTAATTTTATATCAAAATGCAATATTCGTTGGCTGCACCCACGGTCCAAGTACTCAGTCCTCGAGCTATTCCAATTGAAATTTAATACAACTTTTTCCAACCTAATTGCCCATTAGTACTCTTCGAAAGACCTTCACCATATATAAACTTTTTAAGAAATTCATTAGGCATGAGCTAGTAAATGAGAACTCTTTTGCAGCCTTGAAGAAAGAACCCCAAAAGGGTGACAACATTAACATGTGAAGTTCTACTTATGCTTGCAACTTCATCAATGAATTCTTTTCCATTTTCTTTAGATGCATCAAGGAGCTTCACTGCCACCATATGATTGTCAGATAGCTTTCCTTAATTTATACATACAACCATATCCTCCTTGACCAAGTTTATCTATGAAAGAGAGTGTTATTTTCGATCTTGATATCTAAATAGCTGTATCTTTTGGAGACAGAAATTCATAGTTTTTAATAAAGGCTTCAAGATCTTGATCATTTATTTTCTTCCTCCATAGTATGATTGACTTATATGATGAGGTCTTTGATCTTGTCCAGCAGAAAATGATACTCAGTACAACAATTCCGCCAGAAATAGCAACTGCTAATTTTATTTTATTATTTTTTTTTTTTGGGGGGGGGGTGGGGCCAAAGGAAAAGAAGAAAAAGAAACAAATGAAAAGACCTCATATGAGGCCCACCCCCAATTCAGATCCAAGCTGAATAAGACCAACCCCATCAAGCCCAAGAGGCCCAAAAACTTTTGAAATCAAACAACTGTAAGTTGTTCATCATCTCCGGCGAATCAAGCCATCACTGGCAACATGCAGCCTCACAGCTGCGTAGGCGGCTTATCTGGGGGCAAGGAGGCGGTCGGATAAAGGAAGAAGGGAGGTCCCAAACATGACCGGCACGCCAAGCAGCCACACCGTCTTTGATTGACGGCAAGAAACTTTCCCTGAAATTAATGATTTTCAACAAAACAGAGTTGAAAATCATTAATATACGGATGCTGAAAGTGCCAATTTGTTTATGGCATTTGCAATGTTTTAGGATGACCAGTGATGTGAAGCCCAAAAGATGAAATCATTCCACTGTGAAGCCCAATAGCTCCTGCAATTTAGAAATCAGATATAAAAAGAAAAAAATTAGAAAAATTTATTTATATTCAAAATTAGCAATATAAGCATGGCATTGGTAATTGAATAATCTCAAAGGAAAAGAACTCTATTTTCCAACTTTTATAAAGGTACATTATTAATTCTCTCAACTGTTAGAATTAGACATGGCCCATTTAAGCATGATTCCTTTTCATTTTTTAATATAATATTAATATATTGACAAACAAATCGTGGTTAACAAACACTTTTCTGGGGAAAAAGAATTCATGGTTAAGAATCCAAAATTTATTATGAGAAAATTAAAGAAAGAAAAAAAAAAAATAAGTCACTCTCTCCAATGTGACTATATCGTTTTATTCCATAAGATCAATTTATCTGTCACTAATAAGTCCACTGAGAAAAAATAAATTATAATATGCATTGTTATTAATGTAATTATAAACTGTTATCAGAATAGGGTACCTATTGTCAACTTCAGTCTTAGTGTCAGTGTTACCTTCAGCAAAAAATTTATAGCCTTAAGTGTGAGACCTTGAACTTGAAGGAAGCAAATACAACTGGGCATAAATCATAATAGTTGGTACTTAAATTCTTTTAATAAATACTAAATACTACACTCAACAAAACCTGCAGACGTAAAAATAATAATAATAATAATAAAAAAAATAAAAAATAAAAAATAATAATAGTAATAATTTGCCCGCCGAATCTGATTGATTGGGTTGAAAAACTAGTCCTATTGACATCTTTTCTATTATTTTCTTTTTCTTTTTCAGAACCAACAAGTCTAATAAATTAGATGTTGTCATGTTGAACTGAACATACTAATTAAAAACATAAGTTGTTGTTTATAAACAATAACCCTAGATTTTCAAAATCCACC